TATAGTAAAAATAAAAAATATATCAAAAGAATAACTGAATTTAACTTGCTCACCATTGACAGAACAAGTCATCTTACTGGTAAAATATAAATTACCAAAAAAAAATATTCGAAGTAACCTCAATATTTATCTAGTTTTCAAATAATTTGAGAAAGTAGATGGATGACATCGATTTATAACGAAAGCAATCATTAAGACAGTGATGACAATAACTTACATTATTATTCGATGCCTGATTATGAACCAAAGGCACCATTGCATCATACACTCTCTCTATTGAAATCTCTTTTCTCGTGGTTTCTGTACATGAAAATTCTCCATTTTCAGTTCCCGGTTGCGAAAAATCATTGGTTTCGTTGCTTTCTGAATATCGCTGATGATCGCTGGATGAGAAATCATCTGCTGAATCCTTCAAAAAATAAAATTTGAAATATTATCTCAAATTACAAATCAAAATCCCGAAAAGATATTCAATAATTAGAATGAATCAAATCTTTTTGATATGAATTTATGTGCTAAAACTATTCTATCAAGCCGAACAATCATGGATATAAAATTTACTTTTGATACTGAATCACTAAATTCCCCTTTGCCATTATCTCCGGTATCCGTGAAATCCATTTCTGAGCCCGATTTCCGCTGTGAGATACATGCATTGTTCAGAAACAATTGTTGTGAAGAATTAGCGGATGTCAATGGCATTAAATCAGTGCTTTGCGTGACGGAATTTAAACGTGAACATAATGAATCAGGTACTACTTGATCGCCAGAAACCTGAACTCGTGTCTTATGTACCTGAAGAAGTCAAAAGTACCATTCAAAAAATAAATCACCCTAATGGATAATGACTAAAAATTCGTTGCAAACCAACGAACACCAATAGAAATCGCACTGAATACGTATCGCCCATGTCTGTGGCTTTGGAATGTTTCCGGATTTAATACGTACCGTTTGGTGAATGAAAGAGTTCATCAATGCTTTTGCTGCATCACGTTCTTTCCGAATCTCCAGAATCGACCTGAAGCTGGTCAAAGAGTTGTTTCTCTGTTGCATTCAACAACATTCAATCATGACATACCCGCAATCATCACTTTATGTTTTCTGTTCTATTGTAATCGAAAATCAGGTACACTTTTATACTTGTTCTGAATATTAGATGCACATAGGTTAACCACTCGTAGAGTCATAATTCTTTTTGTATTACATGAAATTCGATCAGATATATCTGCAAGACTCTGTGTACCTTATGAAAACTTCTCGATACATAACAATAGTAACGTAGTGTTGTTGAAATGCAATCATAATCTACGCAATTAGAAATATTACGATGACGTGCAACGTTTCGCCGTCATGCCATCTTCAGGAACACCTTTTCGAATAATCTCAACAAAAGATGAATGATTCAAAAAGTGATCCTGTAATATCTCTAATTGCAATATCTCATTGTAATGATTGTAATATCTCTAATTGCACAGGTAATATTAGGTCAACAACACTACCTCACTGTCTTGATTTTCAATTACCACCAGCTCTTCATAAATGAGGAAAGCTTCAAGCAATTGTTAAACATAAAAAATACTTCAATGCTATGACCTAATCTAAGTGACTCGAATAGATTACCTCTCTAGATTATCATTAACTCACAAGGTCTTAAAGTGCTCCAACAACTTTTCAAATTAAATAAGTGTTTTCTGTTCTATTGTAATCGAAAATCAGATACACTTTTACACTCGCTTTGAATATCAGATGCACATAGGTTAACCACTCATAGAGTCATAATTCTTTTTGTATTACATGAAATACGATCAGATACATTTGCAAGACTCTATGTACCTTATGTAATACTGGGAAATAATGTGAAAATCCAAGGTGCCTCGCAAAACTAATCCACCCATCATATAGATATGTACATATCGAATCAAATCAATTTTCATAAGATTGTTTCGCATGAAATCTTATACACACATTTTCATGAAACATTACCTTCTATCGTTCATTTCGCCTCTTGCAACTTCCAGATATCTATTGATGTGTTTTTCCACAGCACTTGCGAACTGTCGAGCATTGCTTGCGCCTAGCAGCTCATAGGCACGATTCCGGACCTCAGGTCGTGGTGTGAGCAGAAATATTTGTGAGAGTGAATCGGCTACGTTGCCAGCTACCTGAACTTTGAAAATACTATTAGTGGATTCCGTGTTCTCACTATTGGGTGCGCATTAGTTCTCAATGTGTAAATCACCGTATTTGTATCCTCGTATTACTGATTGCTAAATATCATTATTCGTAACAATATGTTTTCTGATGATATTTCTTACATAACAGTGGTGACCACGTTCGGGTGCTCCATTACCCGCTTCGATGGTCTGGCAGGCCGTCATTGCCCCCCCCCCCCCTCTCCCCCTCCCCTTCCTCGCTATAATAATTTATTATTTCCACGCATAACGTCAGAACTGATTTCCCGATCCCCTTCATTACTCTGACATTCCAAAATTACCCAAAATGGGTAATCTCATCCTTATGCGGACCCCTACCCTTGTTAGATAAATTGGCCAATCTTATGATCTCATTTCTCAAAAATTGACGAATGCACGATAAACCACGTGTTTTTCAAATATGATGATGACGATGTCTATAGCGGATCGCTAATCGCAATACTGCAAATGCAGTTGTTTGCAATACCTATTACCAAATCCGTATCATATCCTTTAACTTTTTTCCCGATATAAATCCAATTGGATGTTTTTGTGTATTGTTGTTTGCATAATATCATCATGCTTCATGGAAACCTATTTACTTTTATACATCACATTACTGTTACATTATCGCTGCATTTCGTTTGTGCCAAGCATNCTTCATGGAAACCTATTTACTTTTATACATCACATTACTGTTACATTATCGCTGCATTTCGTTTGTGCCAAGCATAGTGTGAAACGTATTCAATGCGATTCGCTGGTTCGTAACTCCGGCACTTTCGCTCTTCCCTTGACCTTCATATTCAACACAACCCGAACTGACTACGTTGAATACGAAAATCAAGCGCATCCGACCGTCTCTTTCGATTCCTTATATATTTCCGTCGTTACCCGACATTCGCCACTTGTCCCAGTCTCCAGTTAGATATTCCTGAAGTATCCTAACCCAATCGCCAGCGAACAATCTTATTGCACATTCCAAATGCACTAAATTCACATTACTCATATTCTCAATACATTCTGTTTTATATCATCATCACTGTTATAATTCACTTTATTCTGTAATAATAATAAATCAACAATAGCACCTGCAAACATACAAAAATCAAGAGCGATAATGATAGTAACAACTAGAATGCCACTGATAATAAGGATAATTTACCTTCACAAAATAAGAA